GAGGGTAAGGAAGTCCTCAATAAGGTTTTCCTTTTAATGAAAAGCAGCCCCCAAATCATTTCTTTTGTAACAAAGAGCAACCTGTAAAATCGAGCTGCAGACAGAGAAAGGCAAGCTAGGGCCGGGCGCGGTGGCTCAAGCCTATAATCCCAGCACTTCGGGAGTCCGAGGCGGGCAGATCACGAGGTCAAGAGATCAAGAACATGGTGAAACCCTGTCTCTACTAAAAAATACAAAAATTAGCTGGGGACGGTGGCACACGCCTGTGGTCCCAGCTACTCGGGAGGCTGAGGCAGGAGAATTGCTTGAACCCGGGAAGTGGAGGTTGCAGTGAGCTGAGATGGCGCCACTGCACTCCAGCCTGGTGCCTGGCAGCAGAGCGAGAATCTGTCTTAAAAAAAAAAAAAAAAAAAGGCAAGCTAGAAGCATCCATGGGTGAATGCTGGCAGCGGTACCAACAGGAAAAGGGTACCTGGGACTAGGCATGCACACCATGGTGGCTTTATCTTTCCTTCTCTTTGCCACCAACGTGTACAGTAAGGAGCAGGTAACATGGCACCAGCCAAGCAAAGACCCCATTTGTATATAATAAAATCAGGATGGGATGGCCAGTTTCCATGCACACTATATAAACATCACACCTGGTCCAAACAATCTTTGGGCGCTATGTAAATCAGACATCACCTCCTCAAGCCTGTCTATAAAACCCTGTGTACTTTGCCACAGGCTGAAAGTCCACTCAGGTGCCTCTCGAGCATGCAGGAGAGAGAGCTGTTCTCCTTTCTCTTTCTCTTTCTTTTGCCTATTAAACCTCCACTCTTAACCTCACTCCACGTGTGTCCATGTCCTGGATTTCCTTGGCATGAGGCAATGAACCTTGGGTGTTACCCCAGACAATGACAACACTTCAGTGTGACTTTTAACAAGCTTGATTATGAGGTTTCCCTGCTAATTGCAAGTAACTGCAAAAAAGCAGATAAAGATTACCAAAGGCAGAGGTAGCAACCAATAGAAAAAGAAGAAAGAAAATCTACAAAGAAGATGCAGACATTTAAAGAACCTCATCAACAGACTCCAGCTTCCCATGTGGGACAAACAGCCTCTAGAACAATAATTAATGCTTATAATAATGACCTTTAGTTTCAAGAGGTTAAGCTACTTTTAATGTCTTCTAAGAAGGAAGCGAAACATGTAATCAACTTGAATATGATTTCTGCCACATGATTAAGTTTAGTGATTAAAGTGATAACCTGCATTTCTTTGATGGTTCTGAATAAACATGTTACTGTACATAGTCCTTTTTGGAAATTAAAATAATTTTAATAGGTGTATTAGTCTGTTCTCACATTGCTACAAAGAAATACCTGAGATTAGATAATTTATAAGGAAAAGAGATTTAACTGGCTCATGGTTCTGCAGGCTATACAGGAAGCATGATGCTGGTATCTGCTCAGCTTCTGGGGAGGCCTCGGGAAACTTACAGTCATGGCAGAAGGTGCAAGGGAAGCAGGCATATCTTACACGGTCAGAGCAGGAGGAATAGAGAGAGCAGGGGAAGGTGCTACACACTTTTAAATAAGCCAATCTCACAAAAACTCACTCACTATCACAAGAACAGCACTGAGGGGACGGTGCTAACTTATTCATGAGAACTTTGCCTGCATAATCCAATCACCTCCTACCAGGCCCCACCTCCAATACAGGGGATTACAATTCAACGTGAGATTTGGGCAGGGACAAAGATCCAAACCGTATCAATAGGAAAATAAAACTGCAATATAAATCAATAGAGAAGAATATGGCTTCTTAAACATCAGTTTTGCTTTTCAGATAACCATTGGTCTCATGTGAAAAGTAGTTTAAGGCCGGGCGTGGTGGCTCAAGCCTGTAATCCCAGCACTTTGAGAGGCCGAGGCGGGTGGATCACGAGGTCAAGAGATCGAGACCATCCTGGTCAACATGGTGAAACCCCGTCTCTACTAAAAAACTACAAAAAAATTAGCTGGGCATGGTGGCGCGTGTCTGTAGTCCCAGCTACTCAGGAGGCTGAGGCAGGAGAATTGCTTGAACCCAGGAGGCGGAGGTTGCGGTGAGCCGAGATCGTGCCATTGCACTCCAGCCTGGGTAACAACAGCAAAACTCCGTCTCAAAAAAGAAAAAAGAAAAGTAGTTTAGTGAAAAGTATAGCAAAACTTTATGCCAATTTAAACTTCAGGACATTCAGGCTGGGTGCAGTGGCTCACACCTGAAATCCCAGCCAGCACTGTGGGAGGCTGAGGTGATAGGATTACTTGAGCCCAAGTGTTCCAGACCAGCCTGGGCAACATAGTGAGACCCCATCTTTATTTTTAAAAACAAAAACAAAAAACAAAAAAAAAACTTTAGGACATTTAGTTACTCGAACTAGAAAAAGCACACTTTTAGCCATACTGATATCTCTAGTCTCTCGTATTGGCGAGATACCAGGATTTTTTGTTGTTTTATTCTATATGGCCATTATCTAAGCTCCAACCAGATAAACAAAAAGAATCTACTAGTAATGCCAGAAAACAATAAATACTATTTATAAGTACTCAATTAATGAATTTTCTTCCTTTAAAAAAATCATAAGTTTGAAAATTCTAGTGCATATTTGAAAATTCCAGTGCAAGGCAAATAAATCTTCTCTAATTAAAGTCATCTAAGTTACCCAAGATCAAAGCACCAAAGCAAAAAAAAGAGAAGTGATGAGAAAATAAAATTATAATTCATAACATTAAATTACAAAATAAAACATATAAATAGATCTTGTTTAAGTATAACATCTAAAAGAATTCTTTTGGGTTGGCGGCAGTGGCTCACACCTGTAATCCCAGCACTTTGGGAGGCCAAGGCGGACAGATCACTTTGCGCTTAGGAGTTTGAGAACAGCCTGGACAACATGGTGAAACCCCACCTCTCCAAAAAAAAAAATTAGCCAGGTGTAGCATTGTGTGCCAGTAACCCCTACTTGGGAGGCTAAGGCTGGAGAATCGCTTGAACCTGGGAGGTTAAGGTTGCAGTGAGCCGAGATCATGCCACTGCACCCCAGCCTGGGCAACAAAGTGAGACCCTGTCTCAAAATAAATACATACATAAATACATACATAAATACATAAGTAAAATAATTCTTTTAAAGCTGTAATTATCTTTTCTATCATTTATTTTTTTTCCTTAAAAAATTAAATCAGGAATAGGAGTGGCTAAGCTTTTCATGGGATTAATTCATTTGTCCAAGGATTACAGTTGTGATGGTCTATTGTACCAACATCTAAAAAAGAAATGTTTAGTAGACACTTATGAGTAGAACACTGAATATTTTAAGGTAGATTAATCAAATTCATTCTTCATCTGACAAGGCATATTCTTGTACTTTGAAATCTTTCAGTCAAAACACATTAATTTTGGCTCACGCCTGTAATCCCAGCACTTTGGGAGGCCGAGGCGGGGATCACGAGGTCAAGAGATCAAGACCATCCTGGACAACATGGTGAAACCCCGTCTCTACTTAAAAAACACAAAAAATTAGCTGGGCATGGTGGCGCATGCCTGTAATCCCAGCTACTCAGGAGGCTGAGGCAGGAGAATTGCCCGAACCCAGGAGGCAGAGGTTGTGGTGAGCCAAGATCGCGCCTTTGCACTCCAGCCTGAGTAACAAGAGTGAAACTCCGTCTCAAAAACAAAACAAAACAAAACAAAACAAAACAAAACAAAACAAAACATAATTTACTGAAAACACAAAATACATCGGGAAAAGCATTGTAATCCAAATGTTCAGAATCAAAAATTCAAGTGCATATTTGTAAATCCGTTTTAAAAAATTAAACAAAATCTTATTCACCCTTTAAACAAGATTTTTATTATCTTTATCATCTAGTAATGATGTAATATGAGCATAGAAATTTCTGTCATCTACAGAGTAGTATCTTTTAATAAAAAGTTAAAATAGTATAAAACCTGACAAGTTTAGTCATTCTCAGCAGAAGCTGTTAGCTAGACAAAAATAAGTTCAATGCTGAGTCAATAACAAAGAGAGATTATGTTTTGAGGTAGTCTTAATATGGTTAATAAAACAAACCCAAAACTTTAGATTGACATATTGTTAGTACAAACATAAATTACTTGGTCGTAAACTGGTAAAACTTACTACAGGATGTTGAAAATTTACCACATGTAAAATGAATACTTATTGTATTCACGGACAAAATATTTCACTAAGTTGATGTCACTTTAATCATTTGTAAAAGTGAATAAAAGTAGACTTTGCTTTAATGAATATTTAAAAACACAATAAAAATTACTGTTTATATGAAGTATTATGATTTGATCAATGAGAAGTCATTTGTGAGTTCTTCCTTTTTAAAACAACTATATACATTTTTGCCTTGATTCGTTAAAACTAAATTATTTCATTTAAGCACTTTACCTAGAAATGTCATCTTTTAAATATAACAATGGGGTCAGAGAATTAGGGAACTTAAGGGCTAGAAGGACCTTCGGCGAATATCCAGTGTGGGGGAGCTGCAAACCTTCATTCGCATCAGAAGTCCCTGTGGTTCTTGTTAAAATGCGGATGGCCAGGTCTTACCCCACCAATCTGACTCAGTAGTCTGGGATGAAACCAGGAAATAACCATTAGGGAAATAACCCTTGGGGTGGGGTTATACTCCTAACCCCACCCTAAGGTGACTCCCATATAGGCTGTCTACAGATCACTGGGAGGAAAAATATTGTTATAATCTACCACCTTCCTTCCTAAATCAGGAAACTTCCTAGAACATCAGCATTCCATTTCTGCCTCAAACTACTCCTTCTTCAGCCCCTATAGGTAACTCACTGCCATTATATGCAGCCCATAATACATCTAATGGAAGTTTCTTACGGAAACCTATACATTCAAAACATAAAGACATTCAACATGGGCTTACACAAATACATTAATGTAAAGAGTCATTGAAGAATGTTATGAATGAGGAACTGACCTGCTCCTTCTGGTATGTGTTAATTAGATTCAAAAACAAGGCATAACATCTGGAATAGCTGGCCAAGGCTCCACAGCAGTCACGGTAAGAAGTAAGTTTGCTGCAGAAATGCCAAATGGGAAAATAAAGGTAAACTTTGTTTTTCTATAAAATTCAAGTACACATAGTATCACTTTAAATGCAGACCTTCAAAATATTGCCCAGTTCAAGAAAAGGAGTCTAAAAATACTCTACACATCAGTTCAGAGAAGCTGCAAGGAGGCTTGCTATCTGCTCTAAACTCTAGAGAGATGGATCCAGAAACTTTTAAAAGGTAACTTATGTATGTGGTGTGAATTTACACTATCCACGTAGTTCAAAAAACACAAACTTACATGAAATTTACGTCAAATCTGGTTGGATACCAGTGAGTCCCCTGGGACCACATCAGAAGCAAACGTAAAACTGCTTTAATAGGCTAGGCATGGTGGCTCATGCCTATAATCCCAGCACTTTGGGAAGCTGAGGCAGACGGATCACTCGAGGTCAGGAGCTCGAGATCAGCCTGGCCAACACAGTGAAACCTCATCTCTACAAAAATACAAAAACTAGCTGGGTGTGGTGACATGTGCCTGTAATCCCAGCTACTCTAGAGGCTGAGGCAGGATTACTGCTTGAACCCAGGAGGCAGAGGTTGCAGTGAGCCAAGACTGCACCACTGCACTCTGGACTAGGCAATGGGGCAAGACCGCCTCAAAACAAACCAAAAAAACAAACAAAAAGAATCCCTATACATTCAAAACAAATAAATAAAAACCTGCTTTAATATACTAGATTGGTAGTGCTATACTAATATTAGGCAAAACAGACAGACCTTAAAGCAGAAAGCCTTGAAAACAGCTTCAAAATTTCTAAAGCAAGTAAGCAAGCAAGCAAACAAAACCCATAAGGCGATATTGACAAACCCACAACAAATCAAGAGATGTTCATAAATTTCTAATTGATGAATCAGTAGGTAAAACATCATTAATATGTTAAAAATTTGACCACGTACCAGGCCATAAACAAGTCTCAGTAAATTTTCAGAGAACTGGTATCTCAAAGACCACATTCTCTGGTCAAAGTGCAATTAAATTAGAAACCATTGGCTGGGCACGGTGGCTCACACCTGTAATCCCAGCACTTTGGGAGACCAAGACGGGTGGATCATGAGGTCAGGAGATCAAGACCATCCTGGCCAACATGTTGAAACCCCATCATCTCTACTAAAAATACCAGGCATGGTGGTGTGTGCCTATAGTCCCAGCTACTAGGGAGGCTGAGGCAGGAGAATTGCTTGAACCTGCAAGGCGGAGGCTGCAGTGAGCTGAGATCGTGCCACTGCACTTCAGCCTGGGCAACAGTGTGAGACTCTGTCTCAAAAACAAAAAAATTAGAAACTATTTAAAAACTACATTTGTAAAAAACATTTTTTGGGAAATGTAAGAACACATAACTTATGGGTCAAAGAAACATGAAAATTACAAAACAAATATTTAAATATGAGTAACTAAAATATTACAGATCAAAACTTGTAGGATGGGCCAGATGCAGTGGCTCACACCTATAATCCCAGCACTTTGGGAGGCTGAGGCAGGAGGATCACTTGAGGCCAGGAGCTCAAGACTAGCCTGGCCAACATGGCAAAAAAAAAAAAAAATCTTTATTTAAAAAAAAAATACAAAAATTAGCTGGGCGTGGTGGCACATGCTTTTAGTGTGCCAGCTACTACAGAGAGTGAGGCAGGTAAATCACTTGAACCTGGGAGATGGAGCTTGCCAAGATGGCAACACTGCACTCCAGCCTGGACAACAGAGCAGGACTCTATCAAAAAAAAGACAAAAAAACCTTGTAAATATTCATTTCCTCTAATTAGTATTTAGAGGAAAATTTGTAGGCTTAAGGAAGCGGAAAAGAAAGGAGTTATGTTTTTACTAAAATAGCTAGAAGAAAAATAGGATATATTCACAGAGAGAAGAAAAGGATTAATAAGGGTAAGAGCAGAAGGAATAAGACAGGAAGCAAGCATACAATAAAGTGGACCAATAAACACATTTGTTCCTGGTAAAAACTAGTAAAATAGGGAAGATTTAGCAAGACTAAGGAAAAAGAGAAACAGCACGAATAACCAAAATTAGGAAAGAAAATCAATATTAACAATGAAGAGGCAGAGTACCATAGGAGTTCAAAGTATGAATTCTAGAGCCAAACTATGGTTTGAATTGCGGCTCTACCACATACTAGTTGTGTGATCTTGGGAAAATAGCTAAACTTCTCTATGCCTCAGTTTCCTCATATGTAAAATGATAATGACAATAATAATACATATTTTTAAAAGTTGTTATAAGGATGAAATGAATTTGTATTTGGAAAGTATTCAGAATATTGCCTAGCATGGTGTAAGAGCTATACAAATATCTGTTAAATAGGTAAAATAAATAACAGGGGGCATAATTAGAGATACAACAGAGATTAAAATAATAATAAGAAAATACTTGGAACAACTCACGTTGTTTAAAAACTTAGATAAAATTATCAAATTCCTACAGAAGTATAACTTTTTGAAACTGAACCAAGTAGAAATAAGAAATATATAACCCTATAGGAAGAAATTGAATCAGTAGTCAACAATATTCACACATACATACACACACATAGACCCAGGATAAAAATAGCATTTTGAGCAAGTTTTTAAAACTTTTCACAACTTCTTCTAGAAAAAAGAAAAAATTGGATTACCTACTAACCCATTTAATGAGGCTAGTATAAACTTAACACTAAACCCAGACAAGGACAATATAAGAAGGGAAAAATACAGTTCAATGTAACTCATGGTCATCAATGACAAATCCTAAACAAAATATTAGTTAACCAAACCCAGCAATATATAATGGTTTAACCAAGAAACTTTAATGTAATTTACTACATTAACAGATTTAGAAAAGAAAATCCATAATCAAAAGCAATTCAGGTAAATGTGATTTATCATATACACAGAACTAAAGACAAAAACCAAAGGATTATCTCAACAGACACAGAAAAGGCTTTTGATAAAATTCAATACTCCTTAATGTTAAAATCTATTAATAAACTAGGTACTGGCGTCAGGCATGGTGGCTCGTGCACGCCTGTAATCCAGCACTGAGGTCAGGAGTCTGAGACCAGCCTGGCCAACATGATGACACTCTGTCTCTACTAAAAATACAAAAATTAGCCAGGCATGGTGGCTCGTGCCTGTAATCCCAGCTACTCTGGAGGCTGAGGCAGGGGAACTGCTTGAACCCGGGAGGCAGAGGTTGTAGTGAGCCAAGATCATGCCACTGCACTCCAGCCTGGGCAACAGAGACTCCATCTCAAAAAACAAAACAAAAAACTAGGTATCGAAGGAACAGACCTCAAAATAATAAGCGTCATCTATGACAAACCCACAGCTAATATCATACTAAATGGGCGAAAGCTGGAAGCATTTCCCATGAAAACTAGCACAAGACAAGGATGCCCTGTCTCACCATTCCTATGCAACATAGTATTGGAAGTCCTAGCCAGAGTAATCAGTCAAGAGAAGGAAATAAAGGGCATCCAAACAGAAAGGGAGGAAGTCAAACTATCTCTGTTTGCAGAAGAGTAGCTATGAAAACCTACAACAAATATTATTTTCAACTGGTGTAACCATGAAAATATTTCCTTTAAAGTGAGAAGAAAGACAACAGGCCCAACACTCACCGATAATTCTACATCTAGAAAACCCCATCGTCTCAGCCCAAAAGCTCCTTCAGTTGATAAACAACTTTAGCAGTTTCAGGATACAAAATCAATGTACAAAAATCACTACCATTCCTGTACACCAACAACAGCCAATCTCAGAGCTGAATCAGAAAGGCCATCTCATTCACAACTGCCACAGAAAGAATAAAATACCTGAGAATACAGCTAACCAGGGAGGTAAAAGATCTCTACAACGAGAATTACAAAACACCGCTCAAAGAAATCAGGGAAGACACAAACAAATGGGAAAACGTCCCATGCTTATGGGTAGGAATAATTAATAACATTAAAATGGCCAAACTGCCCAAACTTACAGATTCAATGCTATTCCTATCAAACTACCAATGACATTCTTCACAGAACTAGAAAAAAAAAAAACTATTTTAAAATTTACATGGAACCGAAAAAGAGCCCAAATAGCCAAGGAATCCTGCATAAAAAGAACAAAACTAAAGATATCACATGCCCAACTTCAAACTATACTACAGTGCTGTGGTAACCAAAATAGCATGGTACTGGTACAAAAACAGGCATATGGACCAATGGAACAGAATAGAGAGCCCAGAAGTAAGGCTGCCCACCTATAATCACATGATCTTCAACAAAGCTGACAAAACAAACAATGGATAAAAGACTTTTTAATTCAATAAATGAAGAGGGGGTAACAGGCTAAACATATGCAGAAGACTGAAGCTGGACCCCTTCCTTTCACTGTATACAAAAATCAACTCAAGATGGATTAAAGACTTAAATGTAAAATCCAAAACTATAAAGACCCTGGAAGATAACCTAGGCAATACTATCCTGCACATAATGGGCAAAGATTTCATGACAAAGACATTAAAAGCAAACGCAACAAAAGCAAAGTTGACAAATGGGATATAAGTAAATTTAAGAGCTTCTGCACAGCAAAAGAAACCATCAACAAAGTAAACAGACAACCTACAGAATGGGAGAAAATGTTTGCAAACTGTGTATCTGTCCAAGGTCTAATATCCAGCATGTAGAAGGAACTTAAACAAATTTATAAGGGAAAAACAAACAACCCCACTACAAAGTGGGCAAAGGACATGAACAAACACTTTTCAAAAGAAGACATACATGCGGCCAACAAGCATATGAAAAAAAGCTCAATACCATAGATCATTAGAGGAATGCAAATCAAAACCACGATGGGATACCAACTCACACCAGTCAGAATGGCAATTATTAAAAAGTCAAAAAAAAAGTCAAAAAATAACAGATGCTGGCAAGGCTTCAGAATAAAGAGAACAATCATACATTGCTGGTAGGAGTGTAAATTAGTTTAATCATTGTGTAAAGCAGTATGGTGATTCCTCAAAGAGCTAAAAGCAGAACTACCATTTGACGTAGCAATCCTATTATTGGGTATATACCCAGAGGAAAGCATTCGACCATAAAGATACATGCACACGAATGTTCATTGCAACACTATTCACAACAGCAAAGACATGGAATCAACCTAAATGGCCATCATTGACAGATTGGATAAAGAAAATATGGTACATATACACCATGGACTACCATGCAGCCATAAAAAGGAATAAGATCATGTCCCTTGCAGGAACATGGATGGACCTGGAGGCTATTAGCTCAGCAAACTAGCGCAGGAAAAGAAAACCAAATACCACATGTTCTCACTTATAAGTTGGAACTAAATGATGAGAACTTATGAACACAAAGAAGAAAACAACAGACGTTGGGGTCTACTTGACGGTGAGGGTGGAAGGAAGGAGGGAGCAGAAAAGATAAACTCTTTTAACTATTGGATACTGGGCTTAATTCTCGAGTGATGAAATAATCTGTACAACAAATCCCCATGACATAGTTTACCTATATAACAAACCTTCACATGTACCCCTGAATCTAAAATAAAAGTTTATAAAAAGATTCAGAGCAAGCATTTGACAAAACTGAACACCCATTAATGAGAAAAAAAAGTCATTCCTTAACTTCAGGATAGTTATGAAAACCTACAACAAATATTATTTTCAACTAATAAAATCACGAAAATATTTCCCTTAAAGTCAGAAGAAAGACAACAGGTCCAACACTCACAATGTTGTGCTGAACTCCTAAACAATGCAATAAAGAAGAGATGAGGACAGGGGAAAGAGTTACAATAATTGAAAAAAAAATTATATGCAGACAATTTGCAAAGAAAATCCAAGAGCATCTACAGACAAACTCCTAGTCCTAATGTTCATCAAGATTCTTGGATATCCTTCCTGTAGGAGACAGCTAAAATACCCAAACAAGTAAATATTTTAAAAGAGATATTCATAAAAGGTTAATAAGTTCATAAGGAAGGGAAAA